ACTTTGTAGAATAGAAAAACCATTAAAAACTGAAGTTTCGTTCGTTTTCGTCCGTTTTCGATTCGATTTAAACAAAATTTATTTAGTAGAATTGACCCCCTGGTCTCATCTCCAACGAGAAGGTTTTGGTGGTTAGGCTTTCAGACTCATTGCTGGGTGAGTTCACGGAGAGTCCCACACATCGTTGCTTTCTAAGTAACAGGGATAGAATAAAAGCATTTCCTCAACATAAAAAAGGTAAGAGACATCAATTATAATTAACAATAATATACTAATAACACGAAAAAATAAAATTGAGGTGTGGTTCGCACTTCGCAATCAGGGAAAAAAGCAAATGGCGGCCATGCTGCTAGATGTAGGTAGTTTGACTCTTACAACATTAATTTAATGTAAGAGCATTAAAATTGAATTCCATGACAATTATACGACGTCGATTAGTTACACGGTAGAGTCGCTGACCCTGCGTTTACTACGTTGTAATTTACTATAAAACATGAAGACATTAAAATAACAAAATAGCGTCATATTTTCAGAAATACATCTAGTCAAAATGAGATATTTAGAAGTTCTTCCTGGTTAAATATCTTGACCACGGACCTAGTTGTCTTTGAAGTTGACATTTGAAAGATACGCTACAACTATTTGACACATGACAGCGATTGAGATCGAGACTTTTTTAAAGAAATCAAATGAACGATGTCGTTATATAATTCCATAAATCGCTATAACAATCGTTGAACCTTTATTATGTGTTGCGATAGATTTCGAAATTAGACCACCGGGCTTTTATTGCCCTACTGCGCAACGCAAAGAAGGATATGTTTATCGTATACGTAGATTTTATACATTTTCGATCATGTTTTATAGAGACAAAAAAAATGTTTAAGAGTAGGTACCTAGTTGCCTAAATAAAGGCCCGGGCAAATGCTAGCCACGTGCGTGATAAATTGCATTAATAAATTGCATTGAGGAACAAATTCAACCTTGCCGTTGGAAAACATTTGACCCCACAGATTCTATGGTTGACCACATCGACATAGGTCAGTTTACCAACTGAAAACAAGATCATAACAGCACTTTTTATTGTTTTACTTAAGTATTTTGATTTTTCACAAGCCCCAAAAAATTGTAGAAATGTGCTTTTTTGGTCGAGTTTTTAAATAAATTTCCGTCTATTTTTGAGAAAAGAGGTTTTGGCCTTGGGTGCCTTTTTAATTTGATTTTTATTAGGCTTATCTTCCACTAACATTAATTTATTAAAATTGGATCTAGCTTTATTCGCATTATCTTTGTTATATTTTAAATTGACATAGTTTTTGACAATTACGATATAAAGGTTTCTTTTTAAACTAAAACCGATATCGAAATCTAACGAAACATAATTGGCTTTTTCAAAAAGTCAGTCTATAATAAAAGTAAAAAAAAATCAATAAACTTCATTTGAAATCGGGTGGAGAAAAAAATGGCCATAATTAAATTTTCCACTGTATTGAAATTCAGGTGACAATTTAATTATGGCCATTTTTTAACTATTTTGTTATTTTTTTAATCCTTATCGAGGTCTGTTTTAGTTTAAAAGAAAAGAATATATTGGTGCAGTTTATTTACTTGAAAGTCATCGGCAGTCCTGTCGGAAAGAACGAGCCTTTCTGAATGCTGCACGTTGGGATCCAGCAGGATCTTGTGCGTGGTGGACCCATATGTGTCGCCTATCCTGTACTTGTATTCGGGGCAGTGACCTGTATACCTGTAATTTGCATAAAATATAAAAAACATAAATAAAACAAATTTTAAACGGTTTCATTGCGTTTGTATTTAGTTGTTCACATAACACTAAGGTGTTGATTGTGTTTTTAATTACGAGTATTAAGTACAAATATATAATAAAAAAAGTCTTTGTTTGTCTACAGTCTACAGGACCAATTTTAAAATATCTTTCACCTACGGGCAGCTACATCACCCGCGCGGGTGTAAAGAAGCTTCCCGTGAAAGCTCAGGCGAATCCGCGGGAAATTAGCTTGTTCCATATAACTATAATTGATTGTGTTTTTTTTTCAAATAATACTTCTATACAACAGGTTACAATACAACAAACGGTTTTTGATTTATATAGTATCTAGTCTAAATTAATATTAAAACTCCTAAATCATACAACGGATTTCGTTCCGTTTTGCACTGCTAATTAGTTATAAAACCAAAACCAAATCAATAGTTTATTTATAAAAAAGAAAATCGCTATAAAAATCTCTTATCGATACTAATATTACCTATAATGAGGTAAAGTTTCTTTGTTGCGTCCCAGGTTCGATTCCCGGTCGGGTCAATATAGAAAATGAACTTTTATATATTGTCTCAACTTCGTAGTTTCAGATTTCCATAGTATAAATGCTTAGTTATTTAATTTACGATCTGAGCAATTTAAGTGAGATGACGATAAATATTATGTCGAATATTCGATCATCATCATATATCATCATCATCTCAGCCCGATAACGCCCACTGCTGTACAAAGGCTTTCCTAAAATTCACACGTCGATGGAATGATATTTATGTGTATACAAATGAAACAATTTTTAACAGTTTTATCGCATTTCGCGTTCATTAAGAAAGAAATCTTTCCTTTTTTTCTAATATTAGCATAGAAGTGTATATTTATTAAGTTACAAATGCGTACTATCCGCCTATTTAGTAATAACATTGTCTCCACTATCAATCTTAAAAGATCAACAATCGAAACCGAAACGAATTACAAGTATACATCACCAATTTACACTGAAAAATTACTCTGACACACGATTAACCGCCAACGCAACCTCCTCATTCTTGCAAAACCACAACAACAGTTACGGGGACAAACTCCACACAATAACAACGCAGAACACGCGTCCTCAGACATCTGACAGCCTGACTAATGACGCTGGCCAAAACTCGAAGTTTACATAACCAACCTCAGCTTTTGTGCACGTGAAATATTTTGTGTCAGTTTGTGTCCAGCGTTTATTATATTATTTGTTTACGAAAGAGTACGCTGATGTAAAGGATACAATCCTCTTTGGAATAAAGATTACGCATTAAATTCTTTCGATGAAATCATCGATGGCTATTACAGGCATCATATGGCGATAAATGAGCATTATATTGTTTCAGAAGCCTAACATTTATTCCATAGATTAACGCATCCAAACAAAACCCAAAACTCCACAGTTACCCTGTATTTGGCGAGTATTCTTTGGGTTTTCTTTGTGATTCAGTTCTTCAGCTTGAGCAAAGTAAATTGCGTTCTCGTGGTCAACACATAAGCAGTGCTATTTTGCTCTGTGAGGTTCGACCAAGTAAAACCCGACTTAAAAAGATAATCAAAGTTTCGTTTGATCGTACCTCTATGCTCTACGCATGCTGTGATGTGGCAGCACTGTGCACGAGTTCAAGTTTGATGCCGAATTCCTCGTAAAATAGAAAAGCTGTGGGGAATGCATTAATTTCTTGACAAATAATGATAATGAAACTATATATTTAATGTAAATTTTCCCGATATATCTCTTATAGAGGAGACAAATAACGTCAGAAGACACGATCCTTTGCTTCCTTGATATTCAAAGTTGTTTTCATTCATGCTGGTTTTATCACTTCCCGAATACAAATCTAATTGTAAATATTAAGGAAACTTTGCATACGAGACGACAAACTATTATCTATAGAATCTGTAATCCTTGATCCGTTTGAAACAATACTTTTTTGATAGAGATAGATTTGAGAGAGAGCAATTAAAAGTAAATGATTGTTAAAAGAACTTATGCTTCTGACCCTACTTACCCAGGTATATAGTGAGGTTGTGCGATACTAACTAAATCCAACGCCATGGTTCTTATTATATAGTATTTCCTGATTACAAACTATTTAATTCATAATTTAGAACGAAAATTTACTGAAATATGGTGATGCACTTTAATTTAGCTTTAAAAACACATTTACAAATTTTGATTAGATCCAGTGACAATGTCAAAATTTGACTTTTAAGAAGTTATAAATTTTCATTAGAGCGATAAATAACTTTTTGGTTGATTACCATTGTAACATTTATCGTCGCCATCTTTCAATTACAACAACATGTAGAAATTAATTTATTCACTTGACATTGGCAGAATTGTGCGAAATACGCAGATAACTTTATATAATAATACTCTTTGCAGATAACCCATCAATAAAGAAGAAGAACTTTTTGGTTGAGCTATCTTTTATTTAGATAATAATTAATGTAGTCCTTGATCGGAAAGAAAAGGTTTATGGTTTTTTAACGCAGTTTACAAATAAAATATACCTACAGTCTACACACATGCCCGCGCCAAAGTAAGTCTATGCAAATATTTATTATATTTAACAATAGTAGTTGCTACATAGTTTTTCTATGTATAATAGAAATGAAAAACCTGTGTATAACAAAACTCTAGATAAAAGTGTATTTTATTTGTAAAAATATTTCTTTCGACTGTTTGGTTGGATGCCTGAACATTGATGAGAATACGCTCTGTAGTAACGAAAAAGTAACAAGAGCTTGAAACATTAATCAGTCCTGTTAAGTCAGGGGTAGCTCAGTGTTTGAACAGTCGCCCAGATTGCGAAAGGTGCCAGGGAGAAAATGGATTTTTTAAACATTTTCCATTAAAAATAATCTACAAAAGGTTATTTTATTCATAGAAAATAATTGTCAATCGGCCGAAGGTAAAACGGGGTTTGCTAATTTATTAATGTATTATTGAATAAGCTACTAAACTTATTTTTCACCTATGGGAAGCGACATCATGACATAGGCTATAATTAACAAGGACAATGTCGCTAAAAAACACATAGTAAAAAATAAATTAAATTAATAAATTAATTACTTATTATCACAATCAAAACACCAAATACGCATTGAACGAATGATGTTAAATTAACCCTCCGTTAGCCGTTGTATTCATTCAGTGCATCAAACGCTCCATTCACTCACCTCTAAGCGCCATATTGGATTCGACCGTGGCGGCGCGCGGACGCGTTCGGTGTTGCTTGCGTCAAGTGACAGCTAACAACGATGAAATCATAACTTTCCAAACCCTTGTGCTCTATGTTCTCCTATGTTATGTCGATACTAAACAGTGCAGTGAATGTAAACAAGTAATTCTAAAATTTTCATATAGTTTAACCGTTCGGGAAGATCGCCGACTCGAAATGCATGCATTCCACCGAGACTGTTGAACTTTATATTTTTTTCTTTTGGTGAACCTTTTTGATTATTATCAAGTATTGCTAGTTCGATATTCAAAGTGGACCAAAACTCATATACAGGATATAAAAGTAATTTCAATTACATCATAAAATCAGTGTTGTGTTTGGACTATTTAGATTGTGTTTTAAAAGTTAGCGATTATTAATTAGTGAGGAGAGCCGAAACATTCAAGGTGAGAATTCATTTGAATTACATATAACAACATTATAAGCCTGTGTTTTGATTTATTTATTAAAGAAAAAGTTGGCAAAAACTGTTTGTGAAAAACTCTTTTATCATTACACCTACTAATAAATTATCAACTGATAACGAATAAATAAGATTAACATTGAAATATACTTGTAGTTTTCATTGTCGCTAACAAAACAATTCTTTAATTTCTATAAATGAAATTACTGTGCTCGTGAAGACAATTAATTAGTCAAGTTAACATGTAAATAATGTACTGTCTGAAAAACAATGCTCACATACCAGATGTCATCAGCATAAATAGGGTTACAGCTCTAAAGTCCATTCATTCATTTGGACTTTGACAATAAAGTATAAGTGATATTCGTAAAGACAATTGAGTTAATGGCTAGTACAAAACATTTCCACTCCACAATACATGCGCACTCTCAATTTTTTTAAATAAATTTACAGAAAACTTTAGCTTTAATTTTATTTAGACTTCTGTATAAAATATACCACGTATAAAAACTGCAAGTTTTCCCAAAATTTTCATAGCCTTAAAATCTACGAATTAGTCTTCACGATTTAGAAATAAAATATATAATAAACATGCGTTTGTGGAATCTGAATTTGTTGATTGTTTCGATAAAATGTAAGAATTATTAGAAATGTACATTACTACTTTTCAACCCCAAAATACTTAAGTACTATTGTTATTACTTACAGTGTAATTTACATTTATGATGCCATCTTATTGTCTTTGGTTAGTTTGATTTTGACGTTTTTTCTTTTATCGCTTGTTATGTTAATCACTTTCATTGGCCGCTCATTGTTTTATTCACCAATCGGATGAGCGTACAAAAGTCGCCCGCACTACGCGTGCTGACCCAATCGACCAGTATAATTGAGCCATTGGAGAGACGGTGACATATACCGATCAACTAATATATTGAGAATAATGCTGGTGCTTCTGAATAATAGAATTAGAGCAAAAGCCCAACGTTTCCTTGTAATAACGCTGTAATGATAAATACAAGCCTCCGCAAAAAACAAGACGCATTACATTGCGATAGCAATCGCAGAGGTATTCTAAATGCATTATTACTTTGCAATCGCAGATCACTGAAAGCCCGATGCGTTTAATACGTAACCTGTCGCCATCCTGTAAATTCGCATCCAACATGGTAAAACCTGTTAATTGATATTTTTAACAAAAATCAGTAAAATTCACCTTTCGATAGAAAATTTCAAGTTGTGTCTGTTGGTAAAAACTATATCGTTTTTGTAAAAATTGTCAGTTAACAGGTTTTACCAGCATGGGTGCGATTGTTGTTGCAAATTATAGTAAGGTGAATGAATTGTCACTTGGAAATTTCCAAACTTTCTTTCCTCATTTAAGTTTCAATAATTATCATATGGGGCTAAATATTCTTGGTAGAAATGCATAGGAATATGTAATTGGATGTTTATAAAGTATTCCAGTATGCGACAAACTGACCCCCTTCCATATTTTATTACTTTTCTGTAGCTTAACCTCGTTTATCGGTTTTTCAATTCGTACAAGAGTTGCGTTCAAATTTACATATTTCGAATCAAGGTTGCGCTTTAAATGTAAATAATGAAACAGAAATTAAATAAATAAGAGTAGATAATAATTTATTTTTGTAATATTCTTTTTAAATGAGTTAAACTATAATCAAAAGTTGTACTCTAAATGCTGTATTTTTATTTGATGACCTTTATATAGCTAAAATATGTTATCAAAGATCTACAAGAAATTTCTTTAGTTTTAAATGTTAAAGATTAGGTAACAAAATAGCCACTATCAATTTTGTACTATTTAATTTGCTTTAAGCTCAATACGTATTCTTCTACCATACTTCTAGATCACCCATCATCTCCACATTTACTCCTTTTTTAGGGTTCCGCACCCAAAGGGTGACCCTATTACTAAGACTTCACTGTCCGTCTGTCACCAGGCTATATCTCATGAACCGTTAAGCCAGTTGCAATTTTCACAGATGATGTATTTCTGTTGCTGCTGTAACAACAATTACTAGAAATGGAATAAAGTAAATATTAAAGGAGCTCCCAAATAACAACGTAATTTTTTTTTTGTTTCTGATACGGAAAACTTTGTGCGCGAGGTCGTTTCACACTTGGCCGGTTATTTTTATTACTCATATCATCTGTCACCCTCCCGTTTTTGTAATTCCAAAGAGTATTCGCTAAACTATTGCATGTGTATATAACAAAAAATTTAAAAAAAGAAACTTATCGAAACTTATAGAAACTTTTGTCTCGACAACCAATATCAAATAGTAATGAACGATCAATAATTGGTGTTATTATTAAGCAAAGTTGTAGTGCCTCGTGCCACTTAAACCCTGATTAAAAAAAGTTTCGCAATATTTTATTAACCGTTTTCACTAATCGTTAAACGGTTTTTATTTAAATCGTCGATTTTATCCGCGAAACTGTTCAACTGTTTTTTAAACAAGCTTCAATGAATGAGGTCATACTTTCTGAATTATTTGTTTTTAAACTAGACGGTAAAACTAGTATATTTAATATGCACAAATATGCTATTTCAATAATTTTGCGTTCGCAGTGTTATACTATTTTATAAATAATACAGTTATGTACTCAAATAGACGACTCGGTTGAATTTATTTAAAAAACTTAATGAAATAGTTATTTTAAATGATTTTAAGTTTTATAAACAAACATAAATAGAAGAACCAATATCTAAGTAACATATTTTATTTTTATAGGTACTTTTACATCAATATTTATTATTTTAATCGATTACCGAGACTCTTATCTACTTTTAGAATTCAAAAGTATATCTATTTTATCCCAATACAATGGAAAAGCGGCACCCGTTCCTAAGTCAAATAATAAGCAATTTTCATTATAAATGTTTCCAGTATAGTATTGTGCAAGTTCCAGTATGCAACTTTGATAAAATATAATAATTAAAAAAAAAATTATCGAAAGTTTATATATTTGTAAAAATATTTATTTTCGGCTGTTTGGGTGAATTACCTGAACATTGAAGAAAATACGCTCTGCGAGTAGTGAAAGTAGCAAAAGCAAAAAAGTAACAAGTGCTTGAAAAATTCGTCAGTCCTGGGTAGCTCAGTGGTAAGAGCAGTCGCCCGAATCGCAAAAGGTCATGAGTTCGAGTCCCATCTCAGAGTGCCAGGGACAAAGTGAATTTAAAAATGCTCAAAAGCGTTTTTCTCTATTAATAATACCTACCTATATTTCAAAGGAATTCTGTTCAGTTACTTAGTGGTATAAAACACTGATTTCAATTAGATCTCTACTTAATTTCTTTGAATTTACGATTTTATTTCTAAAAATCATAGAGTGGCATTTTTGAAGGAATGTTCAAATAAGTATTTGATATTTCCAAGATTATCGGATTCGCAATGTATGAATTTATGGTCTAAATAATTAACATTAGAAACTTTAGAAGTTTTAGTAGAAAAGATGACACTGATTTGTTTTGTCCTATGAGTATACGATAGGGTATTTAAGAAACGCCGTCGTCGAAGAGGGACGTCTGCCTGGACCGGTTCGCCGGCGAGATTTACGAAAAAAGAAGACTCGCTCCGTTGATATTCGAGGTCGCAACCCAATTCGGAACAACCAGTGGTGCTTTGTATTATACTTTCTCCTCCGCGTGACGCATACATTTCACTACAACTACAGCAGGTGTCTTCCGAACTGGTGATAACCCGAGAACTTTACGACAAACGTTTTGATAGTCGCATGTTAAAATAACAATTTGCCAAAGTCATACTTTCTCCTACGAGATAACTCAACGCTTCGAGACTTAAAAATATAATCGTTACCTCAAGTGGATATTAGAAATCCAGAAAGTAGGTTTGAAAACCAATGAGTATTAAACAAAACGAAACTTCAACTAAGAGAACATTGACCTTGATATATAAAATATCACCAGACGTGAATTCAATAAAGGTTCTTTACTTCGATTGTTTTTTGTTAGATTTTTATTAACATCATGATTTTTTATTCTATCGATATTTTGCTAGCAAAAATGGGTTCCCTATTTAAGTCCGAACAAAATCGTTTTCAGTATATCAAGCGTGTAATGTAATTATTTCAAGCAAATAGTAGCTGTTAAAATTTTTCCATACCTATAATATAAATTTTGGATAATTTGTAAATATTCTTGAAATGTTCTGTTTCACAAACCACTACTGTTGGATTTAGGTAAAATAGAACTGTCAAACTCGTTTATGGAATTGCGTTTTAGGACTTGTTGACATCGCAACAATAAACTAAAGGAATAAAATTTCATAATAAGTTCGATAAAAAATGAAAATAGAATGAATAAATGTTGAGTTTTCGTAGAGAACCCGATTAATATAGCGCGAATGAATGCACGAGTTACTCAGCTACTTTTAGATAATCAACCGAGATCGTTGGAAACGATGCTCGGAGTCTTATAAAAAGTGGTTCGGCAAGGTGTCGAACAATCGGTTGGAATATACCACACTATTTTGTCCGTGAGGTTGTTAAACGCGATCTACTAATCTTCTGCTATTAAAAACTCAATTTACATTGAATACTATCTATTGAAACAGACTCGAGCTGTTGCAGTATTCAAGACTATGTAATTATTGCTTTTTAAGATAATGATAGGAATTATTTTGTTTGTTTTATCACATGATGTCATCTCTCGTTTAAAATTATTAACAGTAGCAACTAAAGAACTTCACTTGAAGGAATCCATTTGAAAATATTACAGTAAGCGCAGACAGACTGTGTACATAGACAAATAGCACATGCAATGTAAATGTGAATTCCTTTTCATCGTCCAAACAATTTTAATTGTTATGTAGATTGACATTTGTTACGCTAAGCTTGTCAAAGGCGTATCATTTAGTATGTATATGAAAATTATTAAATAATTATCTCACTTTGAATAAAAAAGGAATTTGAGAAAAACTGATGTACATATTTTTA